ACTACATATAAGCGCCCTGGTTCGTATTCCCTGCCTTATTCCCTGCCATCGCTGTGAAAAATACGCAAGAGAATCTCTCAACTCTCACCATTTGATCATTGTCCCGTATCATGGGTGCGCGCGAATCCCGAGACTTACGGTCTCCGTCCCCGATTATGGCCCCTGCTCTATATCATTCTTTTAAACAAGATTAATTCAATAATAATTCGAATCAACAAATTTTTAGAAACGGATTTGACTAAAAAAGTTAACGTTAAAAAACAACTTAGTCAAATAATAATAAAACTAATAATACTACTAATAATAACGTGCGAAAAACAATTGTCGTTGACTTTATTTACCTATTTTATCATGATCAATCCTGGTAACAGATCCGCGATATTTTTTTAAAAAGGAAAGAGTGTCGAAATAACTTACCAGTAGTTTATATCATGCTGCAGCATCTAAATTTTTCAATACAATGAAGGAAGTCACAATTGCCCTTGTAGAAACCAGTCATCAAATAGCCTGCCCTAGCACATTCGCTCCAGCCCTTACTGTCGAACGATGTAGAAACATCTTCGTCGTAACAATCTCCATATCTGTCGGGGTGCTGCTGTGGACGACAGCATCTTGCCCGTTCAATATCCATCAGCATAACCCCCATGCTGATATAGAGGCCAGACAAGTAATAACCACTGGGACATAGCGCCCAGACATTATCGCTGGAAAAAGAAAACAATAAAGTACCAAATTGCGTATCACAGAGGCGCGATTCATACTGTTTTTAACCAAATATGATAAAAATAATATCATATAGGATGAGTAAAAGCACACTCAAAAACATGTTTTTCGGTAAACAATTGAAAGTCAAGCAGAACACTGCCAAGATTGAAGCGGAGATTTACTTTGATTTCAGGTTGAGGTGAATTTTTTTCAAAGTGAGAAAACTAGTGTCCAGGTCCCTTTAATCAACCTAAACTCATGATCAACCCAATCTACGGTATTTCTTGACTGCCAAAAATTTTAACAGCGTTAACACCTCAGCATAACATCGCTCTTAATCTAATTGCTACAGAATCGGGATTGAGGCCTAATATGACACTTAATTAGTCACCAAAGAGATATGTAAAGTTAAATAGAATCAGGGAAATAATTATATGGTATATTCAACCAAACTTTTATGTTTTGAGACGACGAAACAAAATGATTACAAATCATTCCACCCACCCCTTCAACTATATCAAATTGTAAAAAATGAGTTAGCGACATTCAATGACTATGATTGGTACCAAAGCAGAGATTCTGTAAACCTCTGTGTTGAAAATTAATGTATCATTCTAATAGAAATAAAGTCATGGCCTGTATTGCCCCTGCGTGGTCCTTTGCCGGACATGCAGCAGAAATCTAAAACGCGGAACTGCGAGCTGTTGTTGATTTCAAGTTGTCTTCCGAGAACAAAAAATACGTTTCTCAGGCTATTATTTCTGTAAACATCTGAGAAGCTGTTGGGAGGCGAGCGGTCATGTCAGGTTAGGATGACAGGATACGAGAGAACATCGCAGATGTTTCCAGGTCATTTCAATGTCATTTAGAATACGTCTGATATTTATATCCTCAAGAGGTAAAAACGAGATAAATTAAGGATAAAAACGCATGCACGCTGCACTTATTCTTGAGACTCCTACTTAGCTTTCAGGAATGTTCATAACACGTATCAGTTCAAATCCAGTGTAGGGTTTCAATCAAGCACTTTCTTTAAATAATAACAAAAGCTTCCTTAAATACTCACCCATCCAACGTGTATTGCCAATTTGCAGTTAAGCAGGTCACAGTGTAAGGTGCCGAGTTGTACCTTGGTATAGTGGCTGGGCAGCATTCTGCTTCTTCAAGGAGCAAAATGGGATCATAGTCTGGTTGTTGTTCACTCCTGTTAAATGCTTTTATGAATCTGTCATATCGACAGACAGACCAACCTTGCACGTCCATGCTGTGCAACCAGTTGGCAACTTCACAACCCGTGGTTAGCGTGCTGACAGTCTGGGGCATCAATAGCATGCTGACAAGTTGAAGAACGAACACAAACTGCATATTTTAATCGCTTTCTTAGACGTTTCTGCAACACCAAACAAAGAACACGACTGGTAGTAAATTCTGAAGAAAAAAAATAAAATTGTTTACTAGTTGAATTAAGGGTCTTCTCTTGCATTTTGAGAAGCCCGGTTGCCGATTGTGAAGCATTGAATACGCTTGTTACGATTCCATTTTTATTTATGCTGGAAATGCATCGCAGGCTGAATGCTTCCCAAAGACAAGAATACATAAATGATTCCTATTTGAGAAAGGTCCTAAGCTCTAATACATCATCAGATCCGGCTGAGAAAAACATAGTGGATTAAGAACTGTTTAAGTACAAGTTCTGTTGCCAGTTTAATAAATATGCCTTCGCGTGGAAATGAAAGGTGCTTTAATTATTCTCTTTAAAGTTTGTGATTCTTAATTAAAAATTGTACTAACTACAGGGATTTCTTTGTTACACAAAGTGACTGACAGCAGGGAGAACCTTGCCTTGAAGGAAGCGTACGTGGCACAAGTACAAAGTTCAGTACAAGCGAATAAAGAACAAAGAAATTGTCTGAGAGCAACTGTACACGGAGGTACAATTATCATATATTATAAATTACCAAAAATTATTATAGAAGGACAGACCAAGCAAAATTCGGAAATTAAAACTTGAAGAAAAAGGGCAAAAAAACTCCGAAGTTGGCTTGTAGAAAGATCTCAAAATCTTAAAATATATACGTTTAAAAGTAGAATGACTGATAAAGGGTAAATCTTCCCGTAACAAGTTGTTTCAGCTGCCTAGCTAACACCTATACATAAGCTGTGCGTCGAAAACATTTTCCATGGTGAAAAGCCGATATCTTCACTGTTATCCCTCGGCCTTTGTTTTTTGTTTATTTTCTCTTGGAAAATCTTTGTTTTTAGAGAATTCCCGACCCTCAATCATCGAGAATTTATACTGCTGTTGACCTCAAAGGACTCGACAGAATTACGACTGACGACTTCTCAATATTAGGTTCGTTAAAATCTTCTCTGTCTTTATGTACAACAAAAGTTGTACTTTGTCAAAGGAATCGATCTGACGATCGGATTTCGATAGGAGCGCTCTCTTCCTCTTATGGTCGGCGTTTGGTTCAAGGAATCATTTACAAGTACAAGTACGTGTAAGCTAACGTGCATAAGGGGCGGGAAAACGTGTGCGAAGAAGTGGATCGATTTTATTAAAACAGTCATTAAGCGTAATTGCATAGAAATGAAAAAAACAGTACATATGCAGATTTCTTTCGAAAGCCAACTGAAAACCGCTCTTTGAAAAGGCCAGTTCCTTTCTTTCCTGATGTAAAAACTTTGTGTTGAGAGAATTCCTGACTCTCAATCAGCGAGAAATTGCGAGGTTGTTTACCCTAAAGTATTCGATTGACAGAATTGCGAAAACTTCTCACTGTTGCCGGGTTCGTCTTTCTAGGAAACGATCGGGTTTTAATAAGAGCTACTCTCTTCCTCTCATCGCTGGCGTTTGACTCACGGAATCATGGGCAGATGTATCAACTAGCTAACTGTTATGAAAAAATGCAAAATACGGCTACTAAGGTAACTTACCCACCAAAGTTCGCCTGTTCAATTCCGTTGAAGTCACTGCTCGAAGTATGATAATCTTAGGTTCGCTCTCCTTGAAGAAATGAAAGTGATGAATCCTTTATATCCTTTTAAGACGTCTTCAACATTTACCTTAACCACTGAATTTAATTGCCAGCTGTCATAAAATGAGAACAAATAATTTTTCAGTAACGCCTGAGGCTGCAGCTGTCTACGTAGCACTGGAGCTCAAATTAGCGCATGGGTAGCTGCATTGTCTATAGGGTAGGCTGCTCAATATTTACTGAATGAAACATGGCTGTCGAAAGACAAAAACTGGAAATTTGAACCCATAATGTAAATTTTCACGAAAGTAACACTATCCAGAAAACAGAGCAAAGACCAAATCTAATTCGTGAATCTCTTAGCTCCCGTTTAGGTTACTAGAGTGTATGAAAGTAATGCTTAAAGCTCATCATCTTAAACAAAGGACTACTACAAAATACTACGAAGTGGGGTCACCAGGCAGATTTGTCAGCTTTTACCTAGGAAATTAACCATTTGATTCGGAATTTTCTGGATCAGACAGGACTTTGAAGCAGACAAGACATGGCTGTTTAAATGAACATTAAAAAAATATTTTCTATATATCGAGATAACCTCTTTTTAAGCAGCATTTAAAATGAGTACTTTTTGGTGGGAAAGTTGTGACAAATTGGTTTTCCTCGTTTCAATCGCAGATTGTATCTTATCTTTGAAATAATTACTTTGCGCAAAGTGATTGTCATAATTACACTAAACACTAGTTTGTCTAGCCAGGAATTTTAGATATCCTTATTTACATGAAAACGCTCCCTTTTACATGAAAATGCTCCCTTCTCGAGTTGTAGAAGATTGAAGGGTCTTTTATTACATAACAGTGTAGTACTGAGGAAACTGGCTATAATACTCTGAGCTGTACTAATTTTGCAAAGTGGACCGTCAATATCAGGGTATTTCTTAATAGCTGGGCAAAATAACTAACTAAAACAACAGCTGTAACCTGATCTTTGTCAACGTCATTCTCACAACCGGTGATGTTAAAAGTAATGATATGTATGAAAATGGTATAACTCCTGGGTAGAATGTTCCCAACGAAGCTATTAACAAAAGCTCGACTAATATCTATTGTAAGCTAGCGTAGGCTTCTTAATATTCACTGACTGAAATATGTTTGTCGAAAGACAAAAATTGGATATTTACTACCCATAACATAAATTTTAAAGAAAGTAAGACTAGCCAGAAAAGGCTACAACCATTCCTGAATATTTCAAGTTAGTATTGTGCATGAAAATCACGAGTAAAGCTCACCATTTGAACTCAAAGAATTACAAAATACTACGAAGTGGAATCACCAGGCTTTTACCTAGGGAATTACCCATTTAACTTGGAATTTTGTGGATTAGACAGGAGTTTTGAGGATACAAAACGTGATTGTTTAACTAAATACTAAGATATATTCTCCATGTATCGAAAATAACCTTTTTTTGTGAATCTCAATCCCAGACATCAGTCCGATGTGTGAGATAACTACTGTAATTTTTGTTTTTCGTTTCTGTTGTATAATTGTATCTATAAAACAATTATTTTGCGCAAAGTGATTGTCATTATCAAATCAAACACCAGTTTGTCTAGCTAAGTATTTAGATAACCTGCTACTGCCCAGTGGCTGTCTGACTAAAAAGGTTCTTATTAGCTTAACAAAATACGAAGTTGACAGCCGCAAAAACTGAGAGAAAAACGTTGACAAAGATTAGATTACAGTTATAGCTAAATTTTTCTAGAGTGGGGACAGAAAAATGTATTTTTTTGCTAAGCTATTTAGAAATACCGTTATATTGCCGATTCGTCTTGCAAAAATAGGGCAGCTCAAGTTGTTACAACCAGTTTGCTACAATTTATTATTATAGATGGCTCTTCAATTCTTCTGCAACTCATAATCCATCAATAATTCTGAATGGGCGTGTAAAATTCAGACTTGCAGTTTCTGGCGCGACTTCACAAAAATGCTTTGTATTTGCACGTGGGTTTCGTTTTCGTTATTTTCGCTCATCGTTAAAGTTTGCAAAAATTTAAAATATACAGAAAGAAATATAAAAACGTTTCACATATGCTTACCATTATATAAATTTGGGATGTCGACAGGAGCGAGGCGCAAATAAGTACTTGTGTTTGTTGTTTTCAATGTTTAGTGACAATAAAACTATTTTTTTCCAATTAAGAGCGCTGGGCGTGTCTCAGTTCAATAAATGTGTTCTTCAAATGTTGTTATAGAAATGCTTTATTGGTTCCAGAACTTTGAATGCGAATCGTCCAAGTTAGAACGTAACATGATCATGAAATCTGACTCAAAATATGCGGTTGTTCTACAGGATCTATAGCCATAATTTATCAACTAGTTGATATTGAATAGCCTGTCTTAAAGTCAGTTGTTCTTAGTGATCACGCCTTGGAACAGTAGCGAAGCCAGAGGTTACTAAGTTATGATACAAAGCTTACCAGTTTTTAAAGATTAATTATTCAGTTGCCATGCCAATCTTTACCATCACAAGGACTGTAAAATGATCTAACCTCTCATTATTCTCACAACAAAATGTTAAAAATAATGTATTAAAATGGTCTAGCTCCTGTGTGGGATGCTCCCACAGGAAGGTATTAGGGACTTTAAGCAATGACGACGGCGACAACAGGGACGACGCTTCGTAAAAATATAGATTTATGTTTTACCCTCGAATTTCGTAACTATCTGAATCTGCTTATAGTATACGCCAATCGGTCTAAAACCTGCTCAAACTAAATATGTATTGCCAGCGATCAAGTCCAAAAAGAAATACGAAAACTTTGCCGTCGTGGCCTACGTTATCCAAAATACGCAGAACTTGGTCATTTCACGTTGTTATTTTGCAGAAGACGACTACGAAAGGTACAAAGATTGATCAGCGCGCATGTATACCCCTTGTTCTGCTCATTAAACCTTTTGTTTGTTGACGTTTTCGTTGCCGTCGCAGTCGTGGTTTGCTTAATCTCCCTGTTAACAAAACGCTGGATTAAAATCTACTGAAATTTTTAATAGAGCGGTTTCAATTAAGTATTACATCGCTTTAACCAGTCACAAAGGACTCTGAAAATCCAGTTAGCCAATGGAAACTCGAGGCCATTACGTAAAAGTGGCCAGACACGAGGGGTCATGTTGCAGGGACATGATGCAGCGACATGTTGCAGCGACAAAAAACTTGTGTAGTGCAAACTAAGGCGACATGTAGCAGGGACATGTGGCGGCCACCCAACGGATCGTTTCTGTAGTTTTTGGATTAATACAGGAGCCATAATCGGGGACGGAGACCGTAAGCGCGCGCCATTTCAAGTATTGGGGTTGTCCCCATGATATGGGACAATAATTCTATTTTCAGAA